TATGGAATGGAATAAAAACCGTCGGAAGAGGAATTTGGAACGGAGTCAAAAATATTGGCAAAAGAGTAGGTCAGTTCGTTGGTATTATACCTAAAGACCCTGAACCAGAAGAACAAGCTCCTGTTATACAACAGCCTGAACCTGCACCACAGTCAAGTTGGCAACCAAATCCAACACCTCAACCGTATTAAAATTATATTTTTACCGTTCGATAGTAGTTGTATATGAAACTAAGTTCTAAGTAAAACGCGTGGTATAATGGAATTATTCTCTTTCTTCCATCTGTAGTAAACCATACTTGAAAGTCTGAAATACTTCCACTCGGTGGTTCATATAGCTTTGTAGGTTTTTCGTAAAAGTCATTTGCCAAGCATAAAAAAGAGTTTTGTGCGCCAGAAAATGAAGCATGAACTATAATAGCATCTGAGTCGAAAACATTTTCATATGTTCCATTAGGGTTTTCGACTTCATAAAAGTTCGGGTGTACTGGATATTCTGCAAGGCTGATTTAACATCCTCAAAAATCTATACCATGCCAAGTTGTTATATTTTGTAGAAATATAAACGTCTTTCCAAGGTCTTCTATTCTATTGAATTTAACAGTTGCATTTTTCCTGTCATATATAATATCGAGATGGTACTCTCCTTCGTCAATGTTGTACTGTTTTGCATATTCGAGATAGATATCGTTTATTTTTTCTTGAAAGCTTGAAGAGTTGTTTCTAAGTTTACAAGCAAACTAACTTGTAAAAGTTTTCCCTGTTCAAATTTCTCATACATACGTTTTTCTTTGTTATAGTATCGAACTTCAAAACCGACCGTAAATGGGAAACCATGTATGGCTTCTGAAATGAACTTCATTCTACGAAAGCCAATAGCTTTTGTGAGACAGATGGGTCTCTTAACCATCTTAATGGGTAGTCAAAACGATAGCCTTCATGCTTTACGGTATCTGTCTCAAACTTTTGACCGACATTAGTAAAAAGTTCATCTAATGGTTTAGTTGTAGCAACTCTTGAATTTTCTTTTTCTATTGAAAGCATATTTTATCTAGAATAAAAATGTCGAAAGAAACAGCGTCTATGAGAGAAATACAACACAACCGACAACTCATTGTGCAAGCTCTAAATAAGAACACAACAAACTTTTCAAAACTATTCTAAGATATCTGAGTCATTGAAAGAAGGAAACTTAAAACTGACGATAAACCCATTGACAGACGAGTTTCTGTTTCAAGACAGTAAGAACCATACTGTTTGTATAAATCCAACAAAAAGAACTTAAACGAGAAACCTATAGATGAACTTCTTTGAAAGCAGATATTGACAACAAAGCTGACAAAGAGTATGTTGACGATGAGTTAGCACGTGTGGCTAGTGCGTTAGTGAAGAAGGCAGATAAGGAATATGTGAATGAAAAGGATGAAAAAATTAAAGAGAATGGTTGAATGGTACATGAACGGACAACAAAGATTTTAGAAGGTAAAGCCAATACAGGGTGGGTTTCAGGATGTTTAGACCTTAAAGCTGACAAAACATATGTTAACGATGAGTTAAAGAAGAAAGCAGACTCGACATGGGTAGCTGGATATGTAGATGCAACAAAAGAGTATATTTTCACATGGACAGAAGGAACATACTCACAAAAAATCATAGAATAGCATCTCTGACGTAAATGAACTTGAAGAAAAGTTATATAAGAAAGCAGACAAACAGAGCTTCAAACATTAAAGACAGAAATACTTCAAACACTATATCCTATAGGTTCTATTTACACGTCAATGAACTCTACCAGACCAGAAGTAGTACTTGGTTTTGGAACTTGACTCAAATAGTCGACAGGTTTTTGTATTGTGCAAACTCTTCAAAGGAAACAGGCGGAAGTAAAAACGATTTCAGGTGAAAATTTACCTGCACACAGTCACTACATAGATTTAAGTACATCTCAAGCAGGTTGGCATAAGCATAGATATTGGGAATTGGACAGGAATGACAAAAGGTAAAGGATATGATGTTAAAGACGACGTTAAGTTTGCTATAAATTGTTACTGGGATGACATCAGGGAGGAGGAAGCCATACACATCGCATTACAGGATATCAGAAAAACGGGACAGAGTAAAGACTACATGCCACCTTACATGACAGTTTACGCATGGTATAGAATTGCTTAGTCGTCATTTTCAACTTCTTTAGCATATTCGTCAGGAGTTTCTTATATTTGTTAGGAACTGTCCTTTGAAAGTATACACCTTGAACCTTAACAAGTTTGAAACGAGGTCTGACAATAGTAGTTTTATCTTCTGCTTGCAGTGTGTACATTTTGCCATGTTTGCCTAAAACTTCATAATATTTCTTGTATACTTTCTTCTATTTTTACGAACACGAACGTGAGTACCTGTCCGAGTTCCCATTGTTGTCATAGTCAATAGTATTTTATATGGGTGCGTTTAGGTATTTCTATTTTTACTTTGTCGCCTTTCTGAAGTTTTGAAGCCTGGCATTCTTTCTTGTTTGTCTCTTTTGACTAAACTATTAAATATATAGTCTTTCTCTAAGTCAGGGTTGTTTTTTCATTTCTTCGGGGGAGTGGTTTCCCAACCTTTTTGTTTACGGCTATTGTAATATTTAAAATTGTCTCATCTTTGCCATGGAGAAATGTCTGTATTTGTCGTCATATGACATTTCATCTACCTCACCACCTTGTGGTTGGTTTTAAGTCTCTTAAGATTTTTATACAACTGTCAATGACACCAAGAGAGAATGGTTTTGGTCGACAATGAAATATTGGGTTTTACATTTTTTGAACGCAGATAGTTTTTTACATCATCTGATTTGAAAGAACTTTCACAGTCAGATGTCAGTTTTGTTGGATGGTATTTGTCAACGAATATTGTCAAAGCAGTTTTCACATCTAAAATATTTTTGGACCATAATGGTATGGCTTCACAGTATCTTGTGTTTTGACCGACAAATATTAGCCAGTATGGTGGTCCATCTTCTCTATACCTCGGAATGTTTTCCAAGATATCCATAAACCAAGCATTTGGTGTTGAACTAAAGATTTTTATCATGAGTGCTTTCTTTGTTGCCTTAGAAACATAGGGGTCCTTGTTTGGATTCGTCATTTTTTAACCCATAAGAAATGGGTTTATTTGGCGCATTAGCAGGAGTTGCATCCAGATTTTTGCCCGCAGTGGGAACACTAGCCAGAGGTGCATTTGGAATTGGAAGGAAGATTTTGAGTACATTAGGTATACTGAAAGAGAAAGCACAGCCTATTATACAAACTGTACAGAAAGGTTGGGATGTAGCACGAGATGCAGCAAATCTTATTCCAAATCCTGAAACAAGAGGAAAAGTTCAAGGATGGATGGACAATGTAGGAAGACAAGCAGGAAACTACTATAACAAAGCAAATGACTACTATAACCAAGCAGGGCACTATATGGACCAAGGTGAAAGATTCTTTAACAGAGGATATAACCATGCACAACAGTGGGTAAACAACAACCAACCGCAACCGCCTCAAACGTGGGGAATGTAAATTTTTTTACTGAGATGAAATGAACAATACAGCATTGAGACAAATGGGCTCAAGATGGATTTGTCGGCTTCCAGCAGTTACACAACGTGTTTGTCAAGTTCTTCCTATACCTCAGGAAGTTTTAGACCGACTTAAAAAACAACAACAACCAGTTGAAAACAAACCAAACTAAAATTTTTTACTGACTTGAAAATGACCGAAGAAGTTGAAACGGTAGATTTGACACCACAAACAAAAAGTTCAGAACCATTGTCAAAACCTGTCAAAGAACTTACAGATGAAGAGAAAAATTCAATAATAGAAAGTGCCAGGTCTGGAAATACAAACCCTAACTACAAAGTCACTTTTCATAGAAATGGAACGGCTAGTATCTCAAAAAAGAAACAGACTCTCACAAATAAAATATTGAAGTCTGAAGGAGCTTTCGAGACAACAGATGGAAAAGTTTACTTCACTGACCAACAGTTCATTATAGAACATCTCATTGACTTAGAGTCAAAATATTCTAAACTTTACAACAAACACAAAAAGTTGAAAGGAAAACAAAAACAGATGGCATATGATATTTATGAAGATGTTGACGACACAACTGTTCCTGCAGGTGGGGTAAAACCCGAGGAACCGAAAAGTGACGAAAAACCGATAGAAGAAGGTGAGCCAAAAACTGAAGATAAACCAAAACCAAAGTTTAGTTTCCAAACTAAACCAAGTCAACCTTCATTAGCTGGTATGGGTTGGCGTCAAAGACTTATGGTAGCAGGAGGTTATGTAAAGTAAAAGGAAAACAGTATATTTTTCAAAAAAATATTTTTTTTTATTTTATTTGAAATGTACGCTGGGTTTGTTGGAACAGACCGTTGGGAAACTTGTTTGTTAGATGAGAAATATGAAATTCACTGTTGTGAGTCATTTGAAGTCAGAAACAAAAAGACAAAAAGAGTTTTAAGCGGATGGGAGGGAAATAAAGGATATGCTATTATGAGGATGGGTGGAAAAAACTATTTTAAACATGTTGTCATTGCAACTCATTTTATACCGAATCCTAACAATTTACCTTTTGTAGACCATATAAACCATATAAGAAACGACAATAGACTTGAAAACTTACGTTGGGTTACTCGTTCTGAAAACAGTAAGAACAGAGGCAAATTTAGAGATATTGTATTCGAATTTGTCGACGAACTAGAAGATGAAACAATTGAAATTACAGACTATGGCGAGCATACGTTTGAGTTTTTACTACTATAGCGAAGAACAGGACTCTTTCTACTTTTATACCGGCGTAAACTATAGAAAATTACAAGTAATGTTTTACTAAGGCAGGCTATGCTTATGTATACGCTAGAGATACAGATGGAAAATACGTTAAAATACTTCTTAACAAATTCAAGAAGCTATATGGCATACCATTTTAAAACAGTATTTTTTTATTTTTATAGAAATGCCCCCGTATAGAATGGATAGAAGGTCTGCTAGAATAAAAGCAGAGTTAGAAAGATATGGTTGGAGACTTTCAAAGAAGTTTAAATATAGGAAGGGAAGACCCATAAAAGTCTATGACAAACTGGCTGGTCTGACCTACGAAATGGACTTAGAAACAGCACGCGCAAATTATCCAAACAGACTTGAGAGGTTAGAAGAAGAACGGCTTATGGACATGCCTTTCAATGTTAATGAACCTCAAGTTGAAGGACACGACGGCTTTGCCAGATTTTACTGGAAACATGACGAACAATTGCATCCTTTGAGAAGGAAAAAAGGAAAAGGTGAAGACGCACATGCTCCCATGGAAAGAACAAGATATGCATATGAAAAGTATCGTGAAGTTAGAAGTCAAATTACATCTGGTCGAACCTTTACAGTAAACTTTGACGAAGGAAAGAACAAAGAAGGCTTCATGGGTGTACTTGCTGCCATACAAGACGGAAATAAGAAAGGATACAATCTCAGACTAACCGTAACAGATTTAGATGGTCATATTTACTATGCACATGGCAATGTCACAACAGCCGCACAACTTCTTGACGCTTTCAAGACTACAAAGAGAGAACAAATGGTTGACTCCGACTCAGATATTTTGAATGCAATTGAAGGAATTGTAAGCGTGAAGTTCGAATGGTATCAACCTAACCCTCAAGCAGTCAGACAACATGCTGGATACTTCCCGTTCAGAAATAAGTCTGACATTGACTTGACAAGGTATGGAATTTACAATTCAATTGAAAAAATTGTCAACGAACCTTGCATTCTTACATGTCTCAGGAACTCTGGTCTTGTTACAGATGAGAAGATGAAGTATCTTGAGTCATGTGTGAAGACAAGGTACATTCTCAGAGGTCAATTGACAAAGATTGCACCGTTGGCAAATGTGAATATCCGAGTCAACATACCTACAGCTAAAGGTTCTTCACATGACGACTATGTTGTTGACAAAGACTTACCATGGTTGAAGATTGTACTTGTCCACAACCACTTCATGTTGAACGAAAGTCTTACAAACCCATTGTTCGGAAAAGGCAAGTGCAACATTGTCAGAGCTGTTAACATTCTTTTCGAGAAAGGTTTGTTGGAACCGATTCCAGATGACAAGCTGACAGAAAGTTTTGTACCAAAAGACGAAACAAACTTTTCACTGTTAGCAAGACCAAAAGTTGTTCCAGACAAAGTTCTAGTACAAAAGAAGTACACAGTTCCAAAAGGAGTTGGATTGTTCGGATACCAACCTGAACCAGAAGAACTTCCAATGAGGTTGCAAGAACTTCAAGATGCTATAAACAAACTCCCATTGAGACATCCAATCGACGTCAAATTGTATTGGAGAGCATCAGAGTTAGGTCAGAAGGTTTTATATGAAACAGGTTGCTTCGACGATGTTTATGAGATAACAGGAGAAGTTTCTCAGAAGATAAGAGACTCGCTTGAATTTCCAAAAACTGGTCCGATTGGATGCGATAAGTTCGACTCAGATGAAAAAATATACTATGTCGACCTTAACGCCGCATACATGAGGTTCGTCCAATATATCCCGACTGGAATTCCAAACGAAGATGGTGAGTTCCCAGGAAGGAACTATACAGTTGGAAAAGTCATACAACAACTGTATGATATTAGGAAAGCTTCAAACCCCAAACTTGCAATGACATTAAAATTGCTTATGAATTCGACATGGGGGTATTCCATTAAAAAACCTCAAGAGATGAAGAGTAAACATTATGAGAAGGTCGACAACTTTGTTGAAAGGTTTTCTCCTTTTGTTTTGAAATACGAATTTACCGAAGGTGAAAGTGGCTTAGTAACCACATTAAAACCTATTGTCGAACATTGGTCTTACCCTCAGTTCGCAAAAGCAGTCCTTGACGAGTACAACAAATTCTTCTCCGAAGTCAAATCCAAAGTCAAGGTTTACTATGAGAACATCGACGCACTCATGACGAACGAAGAAGGCTATAACAAACTCATTGAAATGGGTATGGTCGGTGAGAAGATGGGTCAATTCAAATTGGACAAAATTTTCACCGAAGTTCATGTCCTCTCCAAGCGAAAGTACTGGGCTGTTAAAGAAGATGGTGAAATAGTTAAACATTGCATGAAGTAAAACGTTGCATGAAGTAAAACATTGCATGAAGTAAAACATTTTTTAAAACAGTATATTTTTACATATATTAAATGTTTCAGGTTGAAAAACAAAGAACAAAAGTAGCAGATACAAAACCGTTAGACTATATCTTCACAAATGCCGGTAGGACTATATCAGATGAAGAAATTTCATCCCGTACTTACAGGTTTGACTATCCAATTCGTTGGCTTCAAAGTCCTTCAGATGCAAAGGCAATAGGATTTAGAAGAGTTTTGTTTTCAAATAGAACTAACGCGTTTATGTTTGCAGTATATTTTCATGGTCAGTATAGAGGTTCTGATGGTCTAATAGACAAATTTGATGAAATGAGAATCTTTACAATTCGTTCAGACGAAAACCTTGAGAAGACTCTAAATGACTTTCAAACTCAAATAAACAAATACTACTGGGAATTTCAAGAAAAATACGATTCTTTACTAAATGGAACATACTATCTGAAGCTAGAATATGACAAGATGAACTCCACAGTTTCATTTCAAAGGATTGAAAATAACCCTCCAAGAGATACACAGTTTTTATTTTGGGAAGTAGACAAACGTTCTTGGGCACAATTTCTTCGGTTACTAAACCAGAACGAACCATTACCACCTGACGGTCCGTTTAAATTTATACGCCACCAACAGATTTGACAGTTTATAGAAACGTGTTCGACCCTCAAAATGTTATGTGTCATGCAAGTTTCAGTTCAAGCAACAACAGTTTTCTTTGTATCGGTAAGGACTTTTATGACTTTGCTTCTAAATTCTACGAACCACCTAGTAACAGTTTCTCTGACTTTCAAGTCTGGTTCACAACAAACAGTGTGCAGCATATTATACCATTGTACTATGACTTTTATCTCGAATTGTCTTTCATATACAACTACGGAAAAGTGCTGAAAAAGTATTGAAAAATATATTTTAGGGTAGATGTTTTTTTAGGTGTGCCTATGTGCCTATGTGCCTCGGTCATTTTAACTTCTTTTAAAAAGTGTGACAACATGACATTTTGACAACATCGTAGAAAACACACAAAACTCTTGAATTTTGTATAAAAAAAGCAACCCGCGGAATTCCGCGGGTTGGTATATTCTTCACAAAATGCTTGTTTTGAGGTCGAGCCACAAACGGATGTCCGACGGTTAAGCCACAAACGGATGTCCGACGGTTAAGCCACAAACGAATGTCCGACGGTTAAGCCACTCAAAAATATTTTTTATTTTTATTGTAAGAACAGAAAATGTCAGTCGAAGCAAAAACGTTCACGAACAAATCTAATGGCGAAACATTCACAAAAGGCACTTACAACGGTATTGAAGTCTTACGTAGAGACAAGGATGGTTATATAAATGCAACAAAGATGGCAAGAGAAGCGGGAAGGTTAAACCATTTAAACAGATTTCTCAATAGTGCTAAAATGCAGGAAATTCTTGAGTTTTGGTTGAAAGAATACGGTCGAGCCAAAAGTGGCTCAACCTCAAAACAAGCATTTTATGAGCTTACTAAGGGCGTTATGAATGAATTCAAAGGTATTTACATACATGCTGACCTCGTTCATTTTGTTGCTGAATGGTGCTCTGTAAAGTATGCATTTTATGTCAAAGATATTCTGGACTCCATAGACAAGAAAGTTCATGAGAAATTAGATGAAGAAGAACTTGAAGATACAGTAGAGAATGCAAAACCTTTGTTTGAAGAAGAAGTTAGAAAAATGCATGAAAAACAAATAGAACATGAACGTGAGATATGTTCTGGTTATAGAGATTCTCCATACGAACTAGACCAATGGGAACAAGAAGATTTAAAGAGAGAATTTAGAGAATATGAACTCGCTAAAATTTCATTAGAAGCTGCAGAAAAGAAGTTAAAAGTTTGGGGTCGTTTTGTACAAAAATATTGTGAGTAAATGAACCATTTTTTTTCGACAAAAATATATTTTAGGGTAGATGGTTAGATCTAACCTCTTTTCTAACCTCATTTCTACCCTCATTTCTACCATCGTAGAAAACACACAAAACTCTTGAATTTGTCATGAGTTTTATACAGAATTCGGCAAAAATATATTTTAGGGTAGAAGGTTAGATCTAACCTGTTTTCTAACCTCTTTTCTACCCTCTTGAATTTTCATGAATTTTATACAGAAAATGCTTGTTTTGAGGTCGAGCCACTTTTGGCTCCACCGTATTCTTTCAACCAAAACTCATGAATTCAGCAAAAATATAATTTAGGGTAGAAGGTTAGATCTAACCTGTTTTCTAACCTGTTTTCTACCCTCTTGAATTTTCATGAATTTTCCCGAAATAAAAAATAAAGTTAGTTTTTTTAAAAAAATATTTTTTATTTTTATTGTAAGAACATGTTAGCAACAACAGCACCAAACTCGTTAGTCATGAACCCAACTTCAATGTTAGTAGAGATGAAAAGCTTCATTCCTTCTTCATATACTTTCGAAACAGAAATCCAGAAGATAAAGCAAGAACTTCTCCAAGGAGATTTAGATTGCACTGCAAAAGATGAAACAGATGAAGAATATCTTTATGAAATGCAGGATATTATTGACCATTTACCCAAATTGCCTGAAATCCAACAACAAAAGCTTACTATTCCAGAATTCGATGAAATAGAAGTCAAAGCAACTGACTCAGTAGAAATAAAGAAGTTCATACGAAAGGTTAACTATGAGTTTCTTGGATTTCATTGCAACCACAAAGTCATGGACAAAGATTGCGATATGGTATATAAGAACATCTCTGACATATACAAATCTGGGGAGTTTAAGACCTACGACAACTTTGTTTCGTTAGTTGCTGAATGTGTATGGCAGATAAGAGATAAAGATAGAAGAGGTAAGATATGGAATGAACAGATAAAACCCGCAACTTTTGAGTTAAAGAGAGCAATTGACGCCTTAGTCATACTAGCAGGTAAGGTTTCAGAATATAACGCAAAAATGAACCCACAATGTTCTAAATGTAAAGCAGCAATGAGGAAATATAACTACTCCGTCAAAGAGATAGAACGTATGCGAAACGACTATGCTGACTTAAAGAGGGAGGCAGAGAAACCAGCAGAAGATAAAATGGACATGTTGACATTTCTAAACAAAAACTATCCAACAGCTGACGATTTCCTTCTTTCAGATGTCAAGAAGAAATATAAAGAAACTTTCGGCATTGTGAAAACATTCGATATCCTTCGTGAAGAAATCGAAGCCACAAAATTGTTTAGAATTTCACGAATTCACAATGTTTACCATGTAAAACGCTTATAAAATAACTGGGGTAGAAAAGAGGTTAGAAAAGAGGTTAGATCTAACCATCTACCCTAAAATATATTTTTTGGTCATTTACGCTCATTACGAAGAAGTCTTGACAAAACATATACGAAGAAGTCTTGACAAAACATATACGATGAAATCATGACAAAACATATACGATGAAATCATGACAAAACATATACGATGAAATCATGACAAAACATATACGAAGAAGTCTTGACAAAACATTTACGATGAAATCATGACAAAACATTTACGATGAAATCATGACAAATTCAAGAGGGTAGAAAACAGGTTAGAAAACAGGTTAGATCTAACCTTCTACCCTAAAATATATTTTTGCTGAATTCAGCACAAAAATCTGAGTAAAATGGCATAAGATTGCTACCCTCGAAAAACCGAGGGTAGAGATTCCGTACGAAAACAGTGAAGAACAACGAGTAGGTAAGAAACCCCAGTCGCCAAAACTCTATGAAAACAGTGAATTTCCTTAAGATAGAAAAAATAAAGTTAGTTTTTTATAAAATATTTTTTTTATTTTGTATGTAAGAACATATATGACAAACACTGAGTTTGAAACAGTTAAAAAGATAGACAATGACACCAAATTGGTTAGAATAGGTGATTTAAACGTAAGATACTCAAAGAAATACAACAAATATTCTTTGTCAGACATTATATCTCCATCTGGAAAGAAACCACACGACTGGGTTAGAATTGCTTCTACTCAGAAAATTTTGACAAGAAATCCTGAGCTGATGATATCGGTAAGATTCTATGGAACTACAGCATATCTCATCGACAAAAGTCTTATACCAATAGTTTTGTTATGGTTAGACCCAGTTGTTGGATATAACTTCATAACATATGGTTCATTCGATACGGAACGTTGCAGTGAAGGCTTACTTTACATCGTTCAGAAACCGAAGGACTTCAATACAAAAAGATATAAGATAGGAAGAACATATAATATAACTCAAAGATATGACAGTACAGTCAATAGAGTTAAGGTTGTGTTTGCTAATGATATGAGAGCTGCAGAAACAGAACTACTCGAAAAGTTTGAGAAAATGTATGGTGCTCCCATAAAAGGTAAAGAAACGTTTGAAGTAGATGAGATAGATAAAGCTATAAAATTATTTGACGAAGTTGCTGAAAAATACATGTAAAGCGTTTATTTTTGGTCTTTTATACAAGATAGAAAATAACGCTAATTTTATTTTTTTTTATTTTTTTATCCGGAATATAAAGACAGATATGTCAACAACAGAGAACACAACAACTGCTATCGTTCATGAAGCTATAAATGAAGAATATGAGTGGGTTCAGTTTAACAAACAACTCCGTCTCATTCGTTCGGTCAAAGATGACATGTACCAAATGCAAAGTATTTTGAATACTCTTCGTTCTACAAAGCAAGCATACCATTGGTTTGAAAACCAACAGACAAAAGAACTTTTAGAAGAATTTCCTCATATGTTTTGCTACCTCGGAAAACCGAGGGTAGAGATTCCGTACGAAAATCGCAAGAATTTGGCTCCTGGTTTGAGAGGTTGGTATGTACATAGACTTCTTGTAAATGCTGTTGCAATGTGGGCGTCACCTCGCTATGCTTGTTATATTTTCATGATGTTAGATGAAATTCATAGACAAGAACGTGAAGAGATGGAAAAGAAACTTCAAGCAAAAGATGAAGTCATTGAAGCAAAAGACAAAAAACATTCAGAAAAGAATACCACGTTCGGTACCAAAAGGAAAGGAAAAGAACTATAAGTATATGATTTATACTGAAGAGATGGAAAATGAAGAAGATAAAGATATGGTTATGTTGCATTTAGTCAGAAGAAACAACAAAAGCTTTTACGACCTTGCTAAGATTTACAAATCTGACAGAAATTGGTTCTATCGCGAAAACTTACCGATTTCAATGACCCCAAATGAAGATGTGAAACAAATAGTTCAAGATACTTTACCTCAAACACACTATGATATTAAAGGTTGTACAATTCTTACCTTCAAAGAAGATTTGCCATTGTTAAAGGAAAAAATAACAGAGTATTTTGACAACTTCAAACAAGCAGAGTAAATGAACCATTTATTTTTGGTCTTGACTTCAGATGGCTCAGGTAGCTCTAGATGGTAAATTGTCTTGTCAAATCCTTCCGACATTCCAAGTTCTTCCTTCCGACATTCCAAGTTCTTCCTTCCGACATTCCGAGTCCTTCCTTCCGACATTCCAAGTTCTTCCTTCCGACATTCCAAGTCCTTCCTTCCAACTGGAAAAAAATTTCCCGACAACTGGAAAAAATTTTCCTTCAGACAGGAAAAAAATTTCCTGTTGTCCGTCCGTAAACCATTCAAATTTTCGAAAATTGAGAACTTTTTGGTCGAACGACAGAAAAAGTTTTTCCTTCCAACTGGAAAAAATTTTCCTTCCAACTGGAAAAAATTTTCCCGACAACTGGAAAAGTTTTTCCTTCCAACAGGAAAAGTTCTTCCTTCCGACATTCCGAGTCTTCCTTCCAACTGGAAAAGTTCTTCCATCCGACAGGACACAAACGAATGTCCGACGTACCACCAACCGAGTCCATTCCAAAGCCAGAAGAACCGACAGCCCAGCACCACAACAGACTAAGACTAAACACTTACATTTTTACGCTTGACTTTTTACAATTTGAACTTTGTTTCGCGTAGATGTGAATTCTGAAAGAAGTATGAGGGTCTTGTATGACTTTGTACTTCTCCCAGAGTTCATGTCTGTCAAACTTACCTGCCATGGACTCTTTCATAAGTTCCATGAAATCGTCTTCGGACAATCCGGGGAAAAGTATGATATCAGTAAGTATTCTTTTAACATCCTTTACTTAAACTCTTGGCTGTCTGTACACAAATGACAACTGAGATGTTAAAGTGTCTGAGCTTCTTAAGAATTCGACACATGTCTTGTTCTCTGTTCTTTAACAAAGGATGAGAAGCAAAGTCATCTAAGATAAGAAGACATCTGTGAGGGAAGTCTTCCAATCGTAAGATTGCAATTTCTTCGAAATGTATTCTATCTCTTTCTGTTTGTTTCGGAAGTGTTTCTTCTCTAATATTCTCTGCATTTCCTCATTTGGGTCTTTAAACTTCGAGTTTATATACTCATTTATAGCATTGTACTTCAAAACTCTTCTTTGGTACTTCTTTATCCAATCTAACAACTCAGAGTCTTTTATACATACTAACTTAGACTTTTTTATAATATCTTTGAACGAATTGACGGTTTGGTCAAATTGACCAGGAAGTACTACAAATGACTACTAACTCATAGAATGGGTTCTTCTCATCTAGTTCTTGTTGTTGTGCAGCCATTTTAAGATAAGTGAAAGTCTTACCCGACCCAGGCGGTGCAATTAGACCTGTTATACCATTCTGAGCAAATAGGAACTTGTCATGTATGGGTTTTATCTGAGCATTTTCCAACTTCCTCTTGTTCTTATTTAAAACATTCTCAAATTTCTTGTCAATGTCAGCAAACTTTTTTTCTAACATATTTTTAGAAAAATTAAAATTTTTATCTTTTAGAAAATGTCTAGCGATTTCGCTATCTATATTCGAGACAAGCTTTTCGACAGCAAAACATCTGTCGACCATAAAATCTTACATAGTGTAAACAAGAAAGGGGAATTTGTTCTAAAGTTCTGTTTCTGGGAATATGACAAGAACCATAAAACCTTAAGCAGAGCAGTCTTAAAATTTGTCAATGACAGACTTGTTGACAGAGATGACGCCGATTGGAAAGATGAAGTCCAACAAAAGTTCTTAGAATGCAAAGAAGACACATGCGCTGTTCTTGAAGATGAAATAGAAAACAGAATAGATGAGCTATTAAAGGACAAAGAACTTTTACATAAATATGGTTCGGAGAAATTTGACATAACTCCACCAGAGAAGAAGAAGAGAGAAAAGAAAGAAAAGAAAGAAAAGAAAGTAGAAGAAGAGAAGAAAGAACCTGAACCAGTTCCAGAGAAAAAGAAATTTGACATGTAAAAATAAAATTTTATTTTTAGAACATTTCTGGGTCAATGTCAATGTTCTCTTCCTCTTTAGGAGCAAACACTGGCTTAGACTCTAAAATCTTTTTACCACAATTTACCTTGAACTTCAACTATCTTAGACTCATAATATTCATAGTCGTCTGCTTTCTTTGGTTCATAAGGTATAACAAGTTTGTATGCTTTGCCTTCTTTAAGGTTTGAAAATCTTCTGTCAAAACTTCTTTGACTGTTAACAAACCTTCTATGTCTAAGTCTTTCAAATTTCGCACCATTTTTAGTTCACAATAGCAAACTTAACTGGTTCGATGTTTCCAAACTTTGTCAAATGTAGACTTTTCAAAATGGTAGAAGTAAACATTCAAATAAGCGAATGGGTCTAGTTCTTCTTTAAGTCCTGACATATATTTGTTGACTGAAAATATATTTCGTCATCTTTTCTATCGGATAAAAAAAATATTTTTTTTAAATTTACTCAGAAAAATTTTTCTTTGTATATACGCCGTTCTGAACATCTAAAAGACTTTTGACATTTGCAAGAATGTTCGTTTAGAAGCTGCCATATAACCATATTCTTGACAATACTGTTTATACGAATCGTACAATGACCTTTCATCTAAACACTCAAAGTTAGTCTCATCTATAAACAGTTCATATACACTCTTGTTTGCTTTCTAACAATGTTTGTCTTTCTTCGGTATGTGGAATTTGTCTTGGATTGAACTTTGAAATATCTAATGTCATGAAATATGAGAACAAGTGGTTGTAAAAGTTAGGTGTCAAAGTTTCTGCTAAGTCGTCAAAATATTCTGTATCTTGCATATGAGAATCTGACGTTCTGACAACTACATATCTTCTGTCAGAACTTTCTAACTTCATCGGAACAACATTGTTTGAAACCATGATGAAATTTGCAACATTTTCACAAACTCTTTGGTCTTTATATTTTCTTTCAACAACTCCAACTTTGTCTGTTATAAGACTCTTCAAAGCATCTGAGTTTAAAACCTTTGTTGTATCTATACTTTGAAGTTCGTTACATACTATAAGTTTCATATTCTCTATTGAAGAGTTAAATTTACCGCAGATGTTTTCTAAGTTTGTCATATTAGGGTTCGAATAGCCCTCTAACAGTTTGCACAAAATATCTGTAAAGAAAGTGTTCTTACCAGTTCCTTGCTTTCCAATTATAATGAGAGCAGTTTTCATTTTTAGCACTTGGATGTTGTAAGATGTTTGCAAACCAACATAAGATATACTCATAGACTCTTTCGTTTCCATTGCATATAATTTCTTTGACATGGTCTAACCAAGCTTCTATAACATTTTCTTTCCATTCTACTTGTTCGTATTTATATCCAGTGAAGATAGAATAGAAGTTTGGAGATGGTGTATAGAACTTTATACCTCGAACTGAAAAATCTTCTAACTTTGACAATAAGATATCCCAAGCATCTAACATCTTCATACCAACTTGTACGACTTTTATTTTCTTAAGTTTCTGTCTACATTCTTGTTCTGAAACTATGGTTGCTCTTGGTTTGTTAAAGACAACATCCCATTCTTTCATACATAACATTCTGGGGCAGAGTCGACATAAATGACTAAACGTTTCAAATTCTCGACTGCTTTGTTATAGTCTCTAAATGGACACATATTTCTGAACGCTTGGAAGTCATAAAAATCTGAAACGTCTATTCTGTACATTTTTATAAAAATAAAAAAAATATTTTTTATTCTTGAGCTTTGTTGTTGCATTTGTTCCATTTGTTGCATTTGTTGTTCTTGAGCTATTTGTTGTTGAAGTTGTTCTTGTAGTACAATACTTTCACCAGTTGCATCTTCCAATTCGAAACTTTCTGCCGTCATTGACAAATACATAGGACATAAAAGTTTTACAGGAACAAAGTTTGCGTCAACTAAGGTTAAGTTTATGTTTGCTAAAGTGTTTGAGTTTACTAAAGCTGAAAATTCTGCATTCGAATGAACAATAGGCAAACCAGCAGAGAAAGTGTTGTTTATACGCATGAGTATCTTTTGGTCATAGTAGTTTCGTCGACATTCGAATGCACTTTGAAACCTAAGTTTGAAAACAATATATAAATAGGTGTACTTAAAGTCAATGGAACAGACAAACCTTGTATGACACCTTTTCCTGTTATAGGAAACTGTTGGTAGTAAAAACCAGATATAAGTTTTGTATTATAGCTCATATCGTTTATACTAAACTCAGTCGGACATCCAAACATAATGAAACCTGCTCTAGTTGCAGCACATGTTACACTGTACTTAAAGTATTAAATAAGTCAACAAAACCTGTTGGTGGTATATCTGAGTAAGTATCTTCAAAGAAGTATTTTTACCATTCACAACAACAAAGTCTTCTGGTGTCAAAAGAGCAAAACAGGCTTTAGTCGTCATCGTGTTTAAGGTCAGTTTACAATACGTCCTTGAGGACTTTGTAAGTTTGTTGTTATAGAATTATATGACTCAGGGTTTTTAGTCGTAATAGTATAAACCACTATGTCTTCTGCCATTTACATATATTTAAAGTTTTTCTGAAAGTGGAGAAGAACTTCATCTAAACTTTCACATGGCGTTTCTTGAAGTTCTCTGTCTAAGAAGTTCAAATATTTTGTAAAGACATAGAACTTTCCTTGTCTACACGAACAACACAAAACAGGGTCTTTCATATCGTTCAAAAGTGTGTAAAGTCCTTTACATGAAATAAAGTCTATATTATTTTTCTTCAAACATCTTTCAAGAAGTTTTGACATTTTTACTTAGCAAATAAATTTTAATGAAATGTTGTGGTCGTCAAATATTTTTATGACGTCTGGGAAACTATATTTTAAGTTCAACGTTTCACCTCCTTTCATAACGTATATCTTGTCAATGACATTATATGAAACACCACAGCAACAATGTCGGGTTCTATTTCTTTGATGTTTATATCGTCTGCCTCTGTCAAAAGTTTCAATAGTTCTTTCAAAATTCATGAGGTGCGATGACATATGAGTTCACTTTTACAGGGTTGTGTTCGACCAAGTTTAACATTATACCAAAGCTTGACAAATCTTCTCCTGAGTTTTAAGTTTGTCTTTAAGTTGTTGGTAGTCGTTTCGAATATCTGCAACAGAACTTAAGTCTCTGCTAACTTCAGGATATGTTGGTTGTTCTTTTACAGGAACTATTGTTATACCATCTTCGTCTTCGTATGGTTTCCCCACTTCAACATCTCTTTCTTTGACATTGACAACAACACTTTGACTGTTTGTTTGAGTTGGTGAATTTAACTTCACATCTGCCACCGCCATTAGCCATTAAACCTTTTGAAACACTTACGCTTCTATTTTTCGGAAATGACATTTTACTTAGAATAAAAAGATGGACGTATTTGAGTATCTCTTCGAATTGAAGCAGAACAAAGTTTACACACACAAACAATACAAGTATTGACAGAATAGTTCTTTATACAAACAATGGAAAATGTTATAGAATAGCAGTCTTTGCTGAACCAAAATATTTTCATAAAGCAAAGAAAGTTGGTATAACTGAATGGTGAAAGTTCTTGAAGCAGACAAAAATATAACAACAAAACTGACCGATATTTCTAAAGGTAAGTTTATTACAATATTATATCAAAACTGGCGTACTGTCAATATTTGACGGAGAGAAGTCAGTTCAAGAACAACTTACTGACCTGCTGCCAAAATCTGCTCGATGGAAGCTGTCGTTATGCCAATCTGAGGAGCCCCAGCAGGTTTCATCGAACGAATCTTCAAAAGAGCATCTTCCGTGAAAAGTGCTATTGGTTTTGTAAACTTCTTTGCTTTCAATTCATCTGGACCGTCTCTGTCACCAGTATATTGTATTTGAACTGTACCAACAGTTGAAATACCACCCATAAAGTCTTCTGAGTCAGCAAATGGAATGCCAAGCCAAAAGTTTGAACGGTCTCCATTTGTATATTGAGTTTTTTGACCTCCTGTATGAGTCCATACTTTCACATATGGCATAATAGAACTTTGCATTTCAGGGTTAATGGTTGTTGTGAAGTTGTTGTTAAAGTTCATAGCATCTAATGTCAAGTTGTATGACCTCATATCCTCAACTGTAGAATATTCTTCTCTTGGATAATATTTGCCATCTATGTTTATATGATATTTAATACCAGGGTTGTAGAAACAAGAATAGTCATTTATAGTTCGTCTGAACAGTACAAACATAGTATCTGCATGTTTCATTGCAGTTGTTAAAGCAATATCTGTTCTTGCACCTGGGTCAGCACTTTGGTTTCCAACTTCACCTGCAAAGTCTTTGACAGATATTTGGTGTATAGGGAACATAAGTGGAACTGCAATATATTTGGCAGCTAAAGCATTTGAAATATCTGGGTCCAACATATAGACTGCAAGTCTGCTTTCTATTCTCTTGCATTCAAACTTTTTCGCATGTGAACTTAACTGGGTCCCAAGCAGTTCCAGCAGCATTGAAATAATAGTTTACTTCAGTGTTGAGGTTTGAGAAACCAAAGTCTAAGTCAACTTTGTCTTTGCAAAAGTCGGCGAATGACATTTTATTTGTTCCACTTTCTGTAAGAGTGAATGGGTCTTGTGTTGGTGCAATGACTAAGTTATTTTTGCTTGGAGTAAGTTCGATAGAAATTTTTCCTGCCCAGTTTGGCAAGTATCTTAAAAACCTGAAGATGAGGAAAGATGACAAAGGAACTCTAAGTTTCAGTTTTACTTTGGTTACTGCTGCTGCAGTTTGTCCAGAAAGGTCAACATAAACTCCTGGAACGTTAGGGTCAAGTCTTCTTATTTTCTCAATAGTTGCATACTGGTCTGTTTGTTCTCTAGCTTGTGGTTGTACTGAGTTTCTCAAAGCGAACCATTCATAGTTTGCCCATGTTACTGTTTGAACTAAGTCAGAGTTAGAATATATCTTATATCCCATGAAAACTTCTGGAGCATATTGGTATCCGACATAGAAAATTCCATTGCAACCTTTCTTGTCAGACAACTTGGCAGAAGGTTTTATTTCAATGTCTTGTTCCACGTATAAGAATGAGTTGTCAATAGAAATAATATGAAACCTGTCGCAAGCAATATCTACTGTTGTTGAAGAACCTTCTCCAAACTCACCTACGTTTCCATAAGAAACAGCAGTTGTATATTCGTAAGTTCCAGGAACTATTTCTGACCTTCTAATGGCATTGTCGCATTCGTTATACCATTCGGAAACATTTCCATTCATGCATCCAAAACTGTTGGCGTTATATTCTGAGCGGCGTACATTTCATATGAGTAAAAATATAGAATAGTTGGATTTATATGTCATAATAGAACCCACGTGGACCAAGCTTTACTTTCTTCCTGACTGAGTTTTTAACTCTTCTTTTTCCTTCATTGCCCTCTGCTTGAAGTTGTTGCATCTTTGCATTATGTTCATCTAGTATGTTGCAAATTTCCCATGTCCTTTTTGCCTTTTGGCTCTGGTCGCCCATCTCAGGTAACCTATATCCTAGAAAGAGTTTGTCATAGTCTGTATTTGAGTCTTCGCGTATTGTTTGCATGACTCTTTCCTGAGTTTCCGGTTCAAGCTCTTCAAACAGTGCCTGTCCATATGGAATAAGCTCGTTTCCAAATAATATGTTTTTGTAGCCATTCTGGTTTTCTTTCCATGTTACCAATATATCTTTTGTGAATGGGAAAGCTTTTACCCAATCTTTCAGTCTTGCGTCGTTTATTTCTGTAGTTGGTTTTATTTTGTCAAGGAACATGTTTTTCAATACTAACATTTCATTTGGTACTGTCCATTTGAGTTTTCTTAAATATTCATCCCTTCTCGATTCATCGTCTGCAAAGTAAGTTTTTATGACATTTTGTAAACTTTCGTTTGCAAGGTCATGTACAATAGGTTCTCTTCCTTCTCCTCCCTAACTTTCTTTCTAAACTCTTCACCAAATATACCATCTCTATGGTTCTGTGTAGTTCTTTGAGATAAATGTTCTAGAACGTCAGGTGTTATATTTCCATCAGCCATGTTCATTTCATACTGGTCCAAAATATCTGCATCTTTCATATCTTTCAATGGCATTAAAGCCGCGCTTAAAATACCAGCTATATCTCGTTCACCATTGACTTCCATTGCGTCTACAACTTCTTGGAATTGTGGTTGTAAGTTTATGAACCACCTATCCGATTAGCTTTATGACCCCATCTCATTGTAGTTCCATCGTCTGCAGAAACAAAAGTAGGTTTGTTTCCATCTTGGTTAGGTTCTGAATGAACTTTAAACAATGTTTCATTTCTATATGTTTTCTTGAAATTTAACCTTTTATTTTCACCGAGTTCATCCGAAGATTGAACGTTAAATGCTCGTAAGTAAAAAGGGTTGTTGTATTTGTGTACATTTTTTTTCAGTTCTTCCATTCTATGCTGAATATTTTCATCTGGTGTTGGAGTCTTTTGTATGTCGGCAAACATTTTTCGATATTCTTCTACTATGTCAGCCGAATTTTTTTTAGACTCTTGGAAATATTCCATATTCTCCGCATACTCTTGTTGAGGGTCAAGATTTTTCGGCTGTTCCAAATCTTCATCTAGTTCTGTGAAGTTAGTTTCCAAAGGAAGGACTTGTTCGTTTCCTTCAGGCTCTTCTAGCTGTTGTTGCTGAACTATTTCTTCCATGTCTGGTTGTATCTGAACTTCTTCCTGTGGAGTTTCTTGTACCTCATCTGCTGGCATTTCATATATTCCGAGACCGTTTTCAACAATTTCCCTATCTACGTCATCCGCATTCATAAGCTTTTGTTCTTTCGTTCCGTCTCTATTTTTTACGCGTTTCATGACGAAAGTTGAATTGTCATTTAGCTCTGACATCAAATATCTCGGAGTAAATTCATCCATGTCATTTGGATGATATGCTATTAAATCATATCCCTTAGCGAGCTTGTATTTTCCAGGTTTGAGATTATATCCGTTTTGGTGCTGAGCCATAAAGCTAAATAGGTTCGGGTCAGTATTTCCTTCCTTGAACTTTCTAATAGCTTCTTTATATCTGTCACTAAAGTCAACAGTATCTGGGAAACCACACTCTTCTTTAAGCATTTTTAAGAATTCTTGGTTTCCTTGTTCTCTACTTCTTTTATGTCCTTGCTCTGTTTGTGGTTGTTGTTGTGTAGGGTTTTGAACTGTTGGTTGCTGTGCTGGTTGTTGTGTTGGTTGTTGTGCTGGTTGTGGAGGTGGTTGTTGTGCTGGTTGTTGTGCATGCCTGTGTCTGTGTCCATGTGACGATGTAAATGTTCTAGGTAGTCCTGGTGCAGGTGCTTCTCTTGGAGGGTTTGGTGGTATATAAGTTCCACCAGCTGGCACATATGTTCCATCTGCAGCGTAATGTCCTACCTGACTTTTCGTTTTTAAGAAAGCATTTACTAGGTCTGTTTTGGTCTGTTGTAACTCTTTTTCTTGACTTTCCACAACAGTTGCTCTAACGGCGTCATAGGCACTTTGAACTGCCTGTCTCGTTGCTGCATCTGTTATTTTCGTCATATTTTGTGCTACTTCTTTTAACTCTTTGTCGAAACCTTCAGACTTCAGTTTCTTTCCAGATGAGAAGTCGTTCACTTGTTTCACCTTACTATGAAGAGCTTCGAAGGCGTTCTTAAAGTCAGCATTTGTTAAAGCTTCATTTGAACTGTCTTCATCCGCTTGTATTTTTGTCCTTATTGACCCTATGAGTTGGGCTGCTTTAGCGTTGGCTTGGGCATCTAACCAGTCATTGTTAGCTTTTATATATTCTGCGCTTTTCATTGCCTTTTGCATGGCTGCGTCGTTATTTTTACTTTCTTGTGCTAAGTTTTCATACTGTACGGTTTGGTTTTGCAACTGTAAAAGTTTTTCTGCCTTTACATTTGCTTCAACTTCTTTTTTATACTCATCGCTATCCATATATGTCTTCAGGGCTTTTTGTTTTATCTCTTCATCTTTCAGTACTTTATATTGAGTAGTATGGTTTTTCAAATTTATGACATCTTGTTCCATTTTTGCTACTTCTGCTGCTTTTTCTGACACTTTTTTCGCATATTCCTCTGTACTTAGTTCTTTCAGTTGTTCTTCTTTCTTCTTTTTCTCTACGTTTAACTCATTGAGTTTCTTTGTGTGTCTGTCATATTCTAGTTTCTTTTCGTTTTCACTTATTTGCTTCTGTATGTCTATGTTTGACTTTTTGACATCTGTTATTTGATTTTTGAGTGAACTCAAATTCATTTGACTTTGAGGGTTATATGCTGTTCCGTCTGCAGCTCCACCATAGCCTGCCATTTTCGCTAAAAGTGCCGCTCTTAAACCTCCACTCTGTGCACCAACAACTCGGTTTAAAAGCATAGGATTGCTTGACATTTGTTGCAACATAGTGGGGTCATTCAGCATTTGTTGTTGCAACTGTTGTTGTGGTGTTAGTCTTACTATTGGATGTTTCAATGCTCTCTTCCTCTTACGTATATTCTTACGTAGTTTACGTGGCATTTTAAGTGAAGTTAAAAAGCGGCTTTTGACAGATGTTTTATTGTGACTTCTTCGTAAAGACTTTGTTGAGATTTCTTCGTAAATGAGTGTAAATGACCCAAAAATATATTTTAGGGTAGAAGGGTATATCTAACCTCTTTTCTAACCTCTTTTCTACCCTCTTGAATTTTCATGAACTTTCTTGTCTATGTTTTGTTGAGATTTCTTCGTAAAGACTTTGTTGAGACTTCTTCGTAAAGACTTTGTTAAGACTTCTTCGTAAAGACTTTGTTGAGACTTCTTCGTAAAGACTTTGTCAAGACTTCATCGTAAAGACTTTGTAAAGACTTTCTCATGAACTTTCTTGTCTATGTTTTGTAAAGTTCTTCATCGTAAAGACTTTGTTGAGAAAGTTCATGAAAATTCAAGAGGGTAGAAATGAGGTTAGAAAACAGGTTAGATCTAACCATCTACCCTAAAATATATTTTTGCCTGATTTACACTCATTGACGATGAAGTTTTGTAATGTTCTTCATCGTAAAGACTTTGTTGAGACTTCCTCATGAACTTTCTTGTCTATGTTTTGTAAAGTTCTTCATCGTAAAGACTTTGTTGAGACTTCTCATGAACTTTCTTGTCTATGTTTTGTAAAGTTCTTCATCGTAAAGACTTTGTTGAGACTTCCTCATGAACTTTCTTGTCTATGTTTTGTAAAGTTCTTCTTCGTAAAGACTTTCATTTTATACTAAACATCAACGGGGCTAGAAGGCACGAAGTGCCTGGAAGCCCCACTACCTTTTTTTTTTTTTTTTTTTTTTTTTTTTTAAATAAAAAAAAATAAAAAAAATAAAAAAATAAACTTTAAAAATTCATGTCTTACATTTTTTGAATAATTTATTTTTTTAATTCGTATGAAAATGAGAGGATCAAGATTCGTAACCGTCAATCAATTAATGGATGCTCTTTCACCAATTCTTGAAAATGTTAAACAAGTAGATGTTTATTTCGATGATTATGTAGAAAGTTTATATTATAAAGGTAAGTTTAATATTAAACTTATTGCTTTTGCATTTGATAATAAATTAATTGAAAATGCAAAAATTTGGGAATTAATTCCAGATATTGAATATATAACGAATATAACTAATAAATGGTTTAAACGAATTTCAACCACAAAAGTTCTTTGTAAATTAATGATCAAAACTGAGGAAAAAGAATTTAACGGGTTTAAATATCATCCAAATAAAGTTTCAGAACTAGAAAATGAAAAACTTCAGAAAAAATTAAACGATAGACTTTCAAATGATCGTATTGAAAAAATAAATAAACTAGCAGAAGTTGCATTTAATAATGAAATATTTGATGAATATAACCTTGAACTCAGTGATGGGCTTTAAGGACCCGGGCTCAAACGAGTCATGATTTATGAAATCAATAATTTGATTTATTCGCTCTTCAATAATTTCTATTCTTTTTGTTAAATCATCAATTTTCATTAATGAGGTGATTCTTGATTGAGGAATAGATTTCAAACTAACCACTCCTTTTTTTTTTTGAAATTTTGAATCCATGACCCTCCGGGTCTTGGACTCTGTCCTCAACTTTAAACATTTTATTCAATTTACATGTTGTCAATTCTTCAAATAATTTTTTATTATTAGCATAATAGTCATTAAATTCTTCAACAGATGAAAAAATTTTTATTTCAGTAATTGGTTTAACAACGTTTATTTTTTGTTGAACATTTTCACTTTCATTTATTTCTTCCTCCTCTGTTTCATTTATTTTTAAAATCGGTTTCATTTATCATTAAATAAAAATTAGAATATAAGTGATGAAATATATTTTTTAATTAATATTAAATCAGAAATGGCGGCAGGATTCTTTAAAAAATTATGGGAAGGAATTAAGAAAGCTGCAAGTTGGGTTATAAAAAGTTATTAAACCGTTGCAAACTTTTTGGCACCAGTAGCGAAAACGGCAGGAACTATCATAGGTGGAGTATTAGGTACTAAAGCAGGTAATCCGGCGATGGGAGCACAAGCAGGTAACGCAATTGGTGGAATTGCTGAAGGAATACTTAATAAAATAGGGGGTAATAGTGGAAAAATAAAATAAAATTATTTTTATCTTAGTATCGGTTGTAGTCTTTGATAAACTTTCTCCTTTATTTAAAATTTCTCTTATTGGGCAGCTTTTGGGTTATTGATTCAGCAACGTCACTAATTGCTTCTTTATTCTTAAATATCCAATTTGCTCCTTTCTTCAATGTTTCCCAAACTTTATGCGCTCCTCTTTTTACTTTATCCCACAGTTTCTTAAAAGAATCCTGCAGCCATAGTTGATTATTTCATTAAAATTAAAAATTCATTTTCATCTTTTAATTTTGATTTTTTATTTAATAATAAATGACGACTAACTATTTAGTGCCAAACACTAAACCGATTAATGGAAATGTGTTTCATTCATTCGAAAAGATAAATGAAATATTCGCAAAGAATGACGGTAGAAGATATTATAGAGAACTTGAAAGTTCATGCTATGACTCTGATGCTCCATATTTTGATGATAAACAAACTCATTTAAGAATTACAAATCCGGCTCATGATGTGAACCAATTAGGTGACACATATATTAAACGCAAAGTTAAAGCAACTCTAGTTTCAAATAAAGCTTTCACATGTGATGCCGCTTTTAAATGCATGCGTTTATTCGTTGGTTACAAATCATCAAATCAAAGCTTTAAACAATTAGAAGTAGAAACCGAAAGAGGTGATGCGGTTATCTTCAGATGGATTGCGCCCGTGAATCTTTCGCATTTGCAACATATAAACCAAAATCAGAAAGGAAAGTTAAAAAGTTTGTTCATTCGTTATATAATAATGTTCAAAAATATGATAACTCAGTATGTGGTAAATATATTGACCCTTCAGAAGTTTTCAAGAAAGCAAATGAAGAAGTTGATATCACTTTTGATATGATTATTCCGGTAAATGATTTGTTAGCATTTCAGGCGTTCGATGATTATCCTAAATCATTTGGTGAAATCATTCTTAAATATTATGTTTTCAGGGATACTTTAGTATTTTGTCAGGTTGACCCGTTAAGAGTTGCTGATTTACAAAATTACGTTTATGAAAAGATAACTGATGAAAATTATGAAAAGATTATGAATCATGTTTATAAATATGATCGCAAATTCCAACAAATCGGACTTCCTGCCAAATTAATTACAAGCTTAGCCGCTACATCTGCTGACGCAACAGTTGAAGACGTTATTATTTCATGCACAAAGATGGAAGTTTTAGAGGATAAATGCATTACACCAGGATACGGTTTAATTGAAGAATCAGTTAAAGCAATACCACGTTTATTTAGTAAGGAAGATCCATTCATGATTCCAGCTCAACATATTGACGTTCGTTCACTAAATGGAGGTTGCATCACTCCTGAAGGTATTAGCTCAGATTTCTCATACGCTCTTCATAATGTTACAGATGTTGTGTTAACATTTCCGAAGAATGCAATGCAAAGAACAGTTTTAGAAAATCCAATGCTTCGAGGTCTTCAGGTCACTATAGATTCCAGAAACTTCCCCGATCAAGCGATGACCACAGTGGGCGACATATTCTTTACACGTATGCTTCAAGCTTCTGATTTAGATGGAGTGAATGAATGCACGGAAGAATACGAGGACTCATTAACTAGACCACTGAATGATGATAATGGCACCATTAGCTAGAACATGGAAAGACCAAACTTCATTCTTATGCACTATTCCAGTTCAACGTGATGGAGCGGGTATATTCTTTGATGGATTAGAAACTTTCAACTCACAAGTTACAGTACAAGTGAAAGCTTATCCAATCATTCAGGGTGAAAATGACACTTACTGTTCAAAGTGACAAATCCTCCTCAGGTTTGGTTTACTAGGACTACATATTGGACATGGACACCGGATGAAGGTTTGAAATATCATCCAACAGGTACACCACCACAGTATAGAAGTTCATATGATGAAATATTGATGAATAGAAATGTTTAAAATTATAAATTTATTTTTGATTAAATGGATTTAAATTCATCCACCCCTTATGAAGAATTAGCAGGAGTATATAATACATACGTAGATGATATGATTAATGAAGCATTGAGTGATAATAGAAATGCTCTATCTAAGGAAAAATTAATGAAAATTCCATATTCTGAATGTTACTTAAATTCAATCACTGCAGCAATTGGTAAACAAAATAAAGGTAAAACATTAACGATATTAAAACAAATTATCATTATTGCTAACACTTCCCCCTATTCACATGTGTTAATTTATATCAACCGTTCAGGTTCACCTTCAGATGATACATTTGAATCTTTAAAGCATTTAATCAAAATTCCAATTATTTATTTATCACAAGAAGAAGCAGAAGATTATTTAAAAAACTTTTAATGTATAAAGAATTATATAATACAATCAAGAAGCAAGGATTAGAGGATAAAATTATTGATAAACAACGGGATGAATTATTTGAAACACTTTCTATTTCAAATTTTGATAGAGAATTTTTGCATTCACTCATTTTTCTAGATGATGCAGTGAAATCAAAACTAATAACAAATGAGAAATCATATTTTAATCAGTTATTAACTCAATGTCGACACATTCAGTGTTCATTCTTCATGGCTGTTCAATACTTTCAAAGCATTAAGCACAAACATTAAATCAAACCTATCACCCTTTTCATTTTCAGTGGTTTTAGTCGTCAACAGTTGAACGTTATGCTTTATCAAGTGAATTTACCAATGAGCATTAATGAACTTTACACACAATATCAACAATTAGGTGAACATGGAAAAATAACAGTTGATTTAAATAAAGGTTCCATTAAATTCGAATAACTTTTTATAATTAATTTTTATTTTTTATTTATAATTAAACATGACAGAAATTGCAAATCTTCTACAGGTTCCATTAAAACAAGGAACAAACAAAAAGGGTGCATATAATAGAACTATGAAAGTTC